CACAGCAGAAACGCCACAACCCCCACCAACACCTCTGATGAAGATACTCACCCCACTGAGCAACCACCCAAAGACAGCGACCCCACTTACGCCACTGTGAGCTTCCAGAAGAGTCCAGCTGTATCCACTGATGCTACAGTGACCTTGAGTAAGGAGGAACCTGCTACCTTGTACGGCGCCATCAGACACGGCACAGGACTGGAGTAGCTTTAAAGGGCCAACATCATGGTACATGGTAATTTTCTCAAAGAAGGTTTTTTGGTCCCACTTTATATTAAATGTCTCTTATAACTGTGTAGTTACACATCAATAACATACCTAACAACACTAACTACTGATGATTTAATCGGTGTTACAGATGGATTAGAGCAGTACAGCCTGTGTAATTACACATGTGTATTAACTTCAGTTTTGCCTCTTGAAATAACACAAGTGTGTCTTTTTTGGTACACTACAGATCAGAAGTTTTTTTTTTTAATATACATTTAAATAATTACTGTGGAATAACTGTGTTGTAACAAGGTAACCTAATCACATCACATGAATTGCCATTTTATAATTGCCAATCTGTAATTGTATTGTACCTATATAACAACTGAAGTTGATACACGTGTAATTACATTAGGTGTACGTCTGTAATCCAGCTGTAACAGTGACTAAATCATTAGTAGTTACATTGCTGTTGCATTTGTTGCTCACATGCAACTATACAGTTATTAGAGTCAGTTAAAACTGGGACCAGTTTTTGTGTTCGCTCTCCGGTCACATGGCTATGTAAACTAAGCAACTATGCTGAAACAAAAGCCTACTTTGAATTCATTTTTTTTTTGTGATGTCATGTAAACCAATGCATATAAACTATATGGACAAAAGTATTGGGACACACCTCTTAATCACTGAATTCAGGTGTTTCATTCATTGTCATTCAGTCTCATTGCCACAGGTGTATAACATCAAGCACCTATCCATGCAGTCTGCCTTTACATATTTGTGAAAGAATGGGTCTAAAGAGCTCATTGAATTCAAGCGTGGTGCTGCAACAAGTCAGTTTGCCAAATTTCTTACTTCCTAGATATTCCACCATCAACTGTGAGTAGTGTTATTGAAAAGTGGAAGCATTTCACAACCACATCAGCTCAACCAGGCAGTGTCAGACCTCAGAAAGGGGGGACTAACTCCATATTAATGTCTATGGATTTAGAATGGGATTCATAAAAGCTCCTGTAGGTGTGATGTGTAGGTGTCCCAATACTTTTGTCCATACAGTGTATCTGCCACCGACTCACTCTGAAGTTTTTTTTTTTTGTTTTTTTTGTTTTTTTTTCTTGAACAAGGCACAAAGCAGGACAGCTAATCCTGCTTAATCTTGATAAAAAAAATATGATAAGTGGATGTCTGGAAGAACTTACATGAAAAATGAAGGATGTGTGCCCTCTAAAGCTGTAACTGAAAATCATCAGCTTTATCCCAGTCTTGAATCCACTTTGAGTTCATGTTTCATGTATGTAACTATAATTTTTAGTAACTTCTTTTCTGCATTTTTTGTTGGATTATTTTAGAGTAATGTTGAAAAATAAATATCCTTGTTAACCTGATGCCAAGGAATTCCCCCCTGCGCCTCCAGAGGTCGCTCTCATTCCAGTACTTGTGTTCTTTTTCAGCTGACCTGCAACCATTTTGGGTAATCAGCAGGCTTTATAATGGCAAACTTGAATTGCTGTCATTGCAAAGTGTTGTATGTGTTTTTTAATTATTATCATTATAATTATTATTTTAACTGATTTTGTTTATATTCCCTGTTGTAATGTTGGCTTTATGACCTTTGATTGTGTGTTGGATTATGTTTTTAGATTGTATTTTGCATTTGTTTCCTGGGTTTCCGTTTTGGTTCCCCTGTTTTTGTTTCATACCACTGCAAGTTCCTCATTAAATCCACTCTTGCATCCTACTGATGAGCTTGTCAGTTCTTTATAATCCAACATTTACAACAGTTTTAATTAAAGATTAAGACTAAGTGACCCTTATTAGTCCCACAACGGGGAACTTCACATTTCCCTAATCCATGCAGTAAAACACCACATACCCAGAAGTGAATGCACACACTAGGGGGCAGTGAGCGCACTTGCCTGGAGCGGTGGGCAGCCCTGTCCACAGTGCCCAGGGAGCAGTTGGGGGTTAGGTGCCTTGCTCAAGGGCATTTTAGTCACGTACTGCCGGCTCAGGAATCAAACCAGTGAACTTCCAGTCACAAGGCTTGTTCCGTAGCCCAAGACTGCCCCCAGCTATAAACAAAAGTACTCACATAATCTGTAAGCAACACATAGGCCCAGTGGTGTGCACAGACTTTGACCAGATTATAGGACTAAGAAATTAGAAACTAGAAATTTTGTGCATCATTTCCTTTTAGCCTATGAAAAACTGGCCCTGTTGCTGATTGCCGTGGACATCATTTTTAAACGTATTGTGGCAGCAGGGCCGTGGTCAAGCACCATCTGCAGGGGAGAGGATGGGCCAAAGTGAGGACACAGACTGATTGGCAAACGCTTACGACTGTGGCTAATTTTCTCTTTCCCTATTATTATGAGCTATGAAATATTAATAACAAATTATTTGTAAACAACATACAGATTAAAAGGATTGTGCATATAAATTGAATTCAGAACCATCAGCCAACTGTGTTTGCACACTGTGGAATTAGACCTCTGCATTTAACCCATCCATTCAGTGAAACACCACATACACACTAGCGAACACACACACTAGGGGGCAGTGAGCACACTTGCCCGGAGTGGTGGGCAGCCCTATCCAGTGCGCCCAGGGAGCAATTGGGGGTTAGGTGTCTTGCTCAAGGGCACTTCAGTTATGGACTATCAGCCCAGGGGATCGAACCAGCAACCTTCTGGTCACAGGGCTGGTTCCCTAACCACCAGCCCACAAATGAGTGAGCTAAAAATTTTACATGTAATAGGGCTAAAGTGGCAGTTCAGTGAGGAAGGTCCATCAGGTACATGTGTCTGCCTGCAGGGGGGGAACCAGTTCATAAGTCTGGGGGACTTGGCCCGGAGGCTTCTTCCAGATGAGAGTCTGTATGATGGATGAGAGGGATCCTTCCTGATGCTGCATGATTTCCTTTTACGCCGTTTGGTGTAGAAATTCTAAATGGTGGGGAAGCTTGACCCTTGATAGACCAGGCAGTCTGCACCCACTGCAGTGCTTTTCCTACCAGAGATGGAGCATTTTCCATACCAGACAGTGATGCTGCAGATCAGGATGCTCTCTATGATGCTTCTGTAGAAGCAGTTGAGGATGAGTGTTTGCAGTTCAGCCCTCTTCAGTCTCCTTAGATAGTAGAAGCACAGTGGTGTCTTCCTTACTAAGGAGGTGTTCAGAGACCAGGAGAGATCGGCAGTGATGTGCAGTACCTGGAATGTGAAGCTGTGCACAGTCTCCTCCACTGTCCCATTGATGTGTAGAGGGGTATGAGGCATCTTTGACCTTCTGAAGTCTCACTCATCTCCTTTGTTTTGGTCACATTCAGAGAGAGACTGTTGTCTTCGCACCAGCGCTCCACCTGCCTCACTTTCTCTGGTGTAGCGGTCTCATTGTAGCGGATGAGCCCAACAACTGTAGTGTCACCAGCAAACTTAATGATGTGATTGCGCTGATGTTTTATCAAAAAACTGCTAAAACTTGTAACCACTTACTCAAACAGAGAGGATAAAGGTGCAGGACTTGAGGAAGGGGCTTACAGTGCAGTGCAGCTCAGTGAGCGAGGCTCCCTCTGCACCAGTACCTGCTGACGCTTCTCTAAAAGACCCACTTCACATCTGTGGAGCTATGAGTGAACAGAGGCAATGAGCACTGCTGCATTGGATGGGCTTCAATAGCTGCTTTGATTACCTCATTATCAAACTGTTAATCAGCCTACAGAGGGCAAGCAACATCACTGTCTCTTGTTCAAGTCTCTACAATTTTGCCATCGACTGGGACAAGCCCTGTGTCCCACACTCACAAAGAGCTGCACAGCTGTCTGACTTTAATACTGAACACTGACCCCAGACTGAAGATACTGCAGGCATTTTGCTCAGCAGCACAAATCATTTTGAAAGGTTCAGCCTGGCTAGTGCACTGCTTTTCTTTGTTATTCATTCTTTCTTGTCTAGCGGTGGAGAAATGAAGAATAAATGGTGGGAGATAAGTGCAGAACAGTGGTGCAGCGGGTAGCGCTGTTGCCTCATAGCAAAGGCCTGAGTTTGATTCCCTGGCTGGGAGACCAGGATCCTTTCTGTTTAGAGTTCTCTCTTTTTTGTGCATCAGTGGAGAAATAAAGAATAGATTGCTGAGATAAGGGTGTAATCGGGTTTGTTTCCCCAGTGTGTGGAGTTTGCATGTTCTCCCCATATCTGCATGGGTTTCCTCCGGGTACTCCGGTTTCCCACAGTCCAAAGACATCAGAATGCATAATTAAGCAAGAAAGCATTAATATTAGTCCATACAACACTATGACAGAAGGATTTAATGTATTTAATATCTATGTTTACAAAACAACTATGAAAAATGAACAATCCTTATGCTTGCTTCCTACTTCAGCTCAAATCTCAAGTGTTGTACTGCTGCCAGTAGGCCAAATGGCAAAATCGTCTCATATTGATTTACAGCAATTTTTGCTTGACCATTCTAATGTGGTGTCTAATGAGTATATGTCGTCCTGTTCTTAGACCATCTGTCTAAAGAACATACTCTGTGACGTGACAACTAAATACTGCAGAGGCTAAAATATGATATAAACCCTAAATATAACCTGTTACCTACAACGATGTAATTGATGTAAGTGATTTCTCTTCACAGTTCAGATGCTAATCATACCACTATATGTGTAAATTCATGTTAAATTGCATATTTCTATTGATTAACTCGAGTTAAGATTATTTATCATTAGGGTCTATGATAGTGCAGAAACAGTCTAGCATGTCAAGCATTATTTCTTGGTATTAGGTCAGTGGTGCTGGTGGGAGGGGCTTTGAGTGTCTTCTTAATAAGCCATAAGTTTGACTTTACCCTTATGTGGGTGGGTGGAGGCCACAGAAGTGAGAAAACTACAGACAGCAGAAACAACCACAGCAGAAAGAAGAAGAGGCAGCAACAGACACACAGAGGACTGTGAGTAATATCAGTCTGGAAAAGTGGATTTGAATTACAGGATGAAGATCCTTCAGTTCAGGGTGAAGATCTTCTTCATCTCCATCCTCTACCTGATCTCAGGTCAGATACTCAACTTTAATATCCGCTAATACGACAGCAAGTGCAGTTATTTATTATCATTGTTCCTCCATCTGAAACTATACTAGTTCTGTGAGCTACAGTTATGTTTATACTGCAGGATTGAAGAGTACAGAAGGTTCTGTGAGGTTCTCCCATATCTGAGATACTTATTTTATTTATTTATTTATTTTTTTTGATCGACAGGTCCAGTGTGCGGCTCTGATGTGTTTGTCTATTCAGGAGGAAGTGTCCTTTTATTCACTGATCTGCAGTGGGATGTAAACAATACAAGATATGTTTGCAGGATGGAACAAAGTGGCTGCTTAAATATAATAGATGATCAGACAAATACCAATGTTGTTAATAAGGGGAGATTCAAGATGTATTCAAATGTTCATGGAGAGTTTCTACTGTTGATCAGAGAGCTGAACCCACAGGATTCTGCTGTGTACAGATTTGGAGTTGGGAATGAAAAGCATAAGGACATCAAACTGACTGTTCAGAATGGTGATAGTTTTTGTGCCGTTTGTTTTTAAAACTTTTGTTAAAACAATGATATAAAAATTAGACATTGCTTATAAACACACAAATACTGAACTGATCAATGAACTGTAGTTTGTGTATGCTTGTTTATATGATTGACAGATTCCTGTTGTGGGGGAATTGAAAAAATGAATGCTTATCTGGGAGAGACGGCCACCTTCACATGTAACTATCCAGATGGGTTTAAGACAAACAGCAAGCGTTTAACCAACCTCTATGACCAAACTACTGTTAAAACAATCATTTACACCGAAAAAGAGTCTGAGAAAGAGCAGAAGGACAGATTCTCCATCTTTGATGACAGAAGATCTAAAGTCTTCAGTGTGAACATCAGTGATGTGAGAGAAGATGATGGAGGAGTTTATCTGTGTGCAGTGTGGGTGTGGAGGAAAGAGAAGTCAGTGCGTTATTACTCCTACTTCAAAGAGATTCAGCTACAAGTTACTGGTGAGATACATTAACTTTGCATTTGCTCAAATCAACCGTTTCAGGTTTTGAAAATTAATATGAACTATAAATCATGACAGTTTTAGTATTCTTTTTATTTCAAAACTATGTGAACAGTGAGCACTCACTTAAGTTTAAGGCTAAAATCAAATAATACACAGCATGAAAAGTGTAGGATTCAGAGGATTTCACATCCTCTTTAGAGCACAGAGAACACGGGACGTTACAGAGTCCGAGTTTAGGGTCACTTTGGTCATTTAGATTTGGGCCCAATCCCATTTCTTCTTTTTACCCCTACCCCTTGTTTTCGACTGTCACCCTAAACCCTTTGAACTGAGTTACAGGGTAGTGGTTGAAATCTTGCCTCTGAAATGGGACCCTCAAATAAAAAGAGCATCACTTCATTAACAGCTACCAGCGCTGCTCTGTAGGTGACACTGCCAGTCTGCAGTGACAGCAGAAGAGGGTAAAGTTCAGCTCCTCACTGCTGGGCTTTAGTTACATTCAGCGCATCATATGCCTTCAAAGAGGGGGGCAATTATTTATTATCACCCACCTCTAATTCTTTGGTGATACGAAGCTGAAGTCAGATATTCTCCAGATTCTTGTTCGAATTTTCCCGTTCCACTTTAAATGGTGCAGCAGTTACATTCTGGTGCTTCAGGCAACAGAACTGCTGGACTATTTAAGGTGGAACGGGAAAGTTAGCTAGCTTGCTACCGAAATGTTAGCATGCTATTAGCAATTTTTTATGCTTGTTATGAAGAAAACGACCCTAACACTTTGCCCTACCCTTCTATCTCAACTAAAATTGGGACACCCTAACCCTTGACGTGCAAAACAGAGGGCTAAGGGCCAAGTGGTAGGGGCAAGGGGTGAAATGGGACTGGGCCTTGGTGTAGGGTAATGGGTCATAACACTGCCCTCCACACATCAGTCTGGCATTCAATTCCCCTCCATGGCAAACACACCACACCAGTAAGACCCTTTGGGCAAGACTCCAAACATGACATTGATAAGGAAAAACATTAAATAGCATATTTTTATATTATTTTCAATTTGATACAGTTCAAGTGCCTGACTGACCTGCCTGTCTCCTATGGAAAATGTATGTTGCTTTATGAAGTATAAGTTAACAAGAAAAAACATTTTATAATGTTTTCAGTTTGAAGTTTAAACAGGATTCACTAATCATCGCTTTCTGTTTCTATTAGTATTTCACAGACTTCATCACATTCTTTTTTGAATTGTGTTTGTGTGTTCAGAATGTACAGAAGGCTCAGTGAGTATCTTGCATTTCCGTTTTGATTGGCAGGTCTAGTGTTTGGCTACGCAGGAGGAAGTGTCATTTTATTCCCTGATCTGCGGTGGGATTTAAACAATACAAGATATATTTGCAAGATGGAACAAAGTGGCTGTGTAAATATAACAAAGGATCAGACAAAAAGCAATGCTGTTACTAAGGGGAGATTCAAGATGTATTCAAATGCAGAAAACAAGTTTACAGTGTTGATCAGAGAGCTGAACCTACAGGATTCTGCCATGTACAGATTTGGAGTTGGGAATGAAAAACATAAGGACATTGAGCTGACCGTTCAGAATGGTAAGAGATTTTAACATGTTTAAGCTGTCTCGAATATTTATATCAATATAATATAAAAATAAGTCTTTGCTCCAAAACACACTTAGGTTTAAAGCGCTAATACTAAACTGATTAATAACCTGCGGTTTGTGTGTGTTTCTTTATATGATTGACAGATGTTTGTTGTGGGGGAATTGAAAAAACGAATGCTTATCTGGAAGAGATGGCCACCTTCACATGTAACTATCCAGAGGAGTTCAAGACAAACAACAAGTACTTAATCAACCTCTATGACCAAAATACTGTTAAACAGATCATTCACACTGGAAAAGAGTCTCAGAAAGAGCAGATGGACAGATTCTCCATCTTTGATGACAGAAGATCTAAAGTCTTCAGTGTGAACATCAGTGATGTGAGAGAAGATGATGGAGGAGTTTATCTGTGTGGAGTGTGGAGGAAAGAGAAGTCAGTGGGTTATTACTCCTACTTCAAAGAGATTCAGCTACAGGTTACTGGTGAGATACGTTAACTTTGCATTTGCTCAAATTAACCGTTTCAGGTTTTGAAAATTAATATGAACTATAAATTATGACAGTTTTACTATTCTTTATTTTCAAAACTATGTGAACAGTGAGCACTCACTTATGTTTAAGGCTAAAATCAAATGTTATACAGCATGGAAAGTGTAAGATTCAGAGGATTTCACATCCTCTTTAGAGCACAGAGAACACGGGATGTTACAGAGTCCGAGATTAGGGTCACTTTGGTCATCTAGACTTTGGCCCAATCCCATTTCTTCTTTTTACCCCTACCCCTAGTTTTCGAGTGTCACCCTAACCCCTTGGAACTGAGTTACAGGGTAGTGGTTGAAATCTTCCCTCTGAAATGGGACCCTCAAATAAAAAGAGCATCACTTCATTAACAGCTACTAGTGCTGCTCTGTAGGCGACCCTGCCAGTCTGCAGTGACAGCAGAGGAGGGTAAAGTTCAGCTCCTCACTGCTGGGCTTTAATTACATTTAGGGCATCATATGCCCTCAAAGAGGGGGGCAATTATTTATTATCGCCCACTTCTAATTCTTCAGTGATATGAAGCTGAAGTCAGATATTCACCAGATTTTTGTTTAAATGTTCCTGTTCCACCTTAAATGGAGCAGCAGTTACATTCTTGTGCTTCAGGCCACAGAATATAACTGCTGGACTATTTAAGTTAGCTAGCTAGCTACTGAGACATTAGCATGCTATTAGCGATTTTTTATGCTTGTTATCAAGAAATCGACCATAATACACTGAAACGACAGTAAAGTAAGATGACACAGTGTTTATCGTAAATTTTTAATGGAGACAATTCTCACATTTGTGGGTTTCTTTGGTCGCTCATGCAGCCATCATGCCAGTTTTTCTTTTTTCCTGATAACACTCAGAAAAACCTCTGTTTACTGGGCCATGTAGCCCTAAAACTTCGCCCTACCCTTCTATCTCAACTAAAATTGGGACATCCTAAGCCTAAATGCGCTAAACAGAGGGCTAAGGGCCAAGTGGTAGGGGCAAGGGGTGAAATGGGACTGGGCCTTGGTGTAGGGTAGTGGGTCATAACACTGCCCTCCACACATCAGTCTGGCATTTAATTCCCCTCCACGGCAAACACACCACACCAGTAAGACCCTTTGGGCAAGACTCCAAACATGACATTGATAAGGCAAAACATTAAATAGCATATTTTTATATTGTTTTCAATTTGATAGAGTTCAGATGCTAGACTGACCTGCCTGTCTCCTATGGAAAATGTATGTTGCTTTATGAAGTATAAGAAAAAATATTAAATATCGTTTTATAAAGTTTTCAGTTTGGTACAGTTTAAACAGAATTCACTAATCATCGCTTTCTGTTTCTATTAGCATTTCACAGACTTTATCACATTCTTTTTTGAATTGTGTTTGTGTGTTCAGAATGTACAGAAGGCTCAGTGAGTATCTTGCATTTCTGTTTTGATTGGCAGGTCTAGTGTTTGGCTATTCAGGAGGAAGTGTCACTATATTATCTGATCTACAGTGGGATGTAAACAATACAAGATATATTTGCAAGGTGGAAGAGGGTGGCTGCCTAGATATAATAAAGGATCAGACAAAAAGCAACGCTGTTACTAGCGGGAGATTCAAGATGTATTCAAATACAGCAGACAAGTTTACAGTGTTGATCAGAGAGCTGAACCCACAGGATTCTGCTGTGTACAGATTTGGAGTTGGGAATAAACAGCATAAGGACATTGAGCTGACCGTTCAGAATGGTGAGACAATCTGTTGGGTTTCTAAAATATTTATATGAAAATAATGATATAAAAAAATTGAGAAACTGCTTTCGAGCACACTGAGGTTTAAAGCACTACTACTGAACTGATTCATGAACTGTAGTTTGTGTATGTTTGTTTATATGACTGACAGATTCTTGTTGTGGCCGAATTAAAAGAATTAATGCTAATCTGGGAGAGACGGCCACCTTCAAATGTAACTATCCAGAGGAGCTCAAGACAAACAGCAAGCGCTTAATCAACCTCAACGATCAAACTATAATTAAATACATCATTCACACTGAAAAAGAGTCTCAGAAAGAGCAGAAGGACAGATTCTCCATCTTTGATGACAGAAGATCTAAAGTCTTCAGTGTGAACATCAGTGATGTGAGAGAAGATGATGGAGGACTTTATCTGTGTGGAGTGTGGAGGAAGGATAAGTCAGTGGGTTATTACTCCTACTTCAAAGAGATTCAGCTACAGGTTACTGGTGAGATACATTAACTTTGAATCATTTATTGAAAATTAATATGAACTCTGAATAAATACATACGCTTTTCCCCCAAACACCACAATACACCTATAAGAGTATATGGGCACATTCCATTCTCCTACCTTTGTAACATAATTAAACAGTAAGACTCATACTAGCCTAGATAGAGAGAGAGAGAGAGAGACAGAGAGAGAGAGAGAGAGAGGTCCACATGGCAGCTTCCCCACCCCTCCAAAAGATGAAAACAAAACAAAACTGAAGCAGCACATAAACCACAGCAGCACACAATACCTGGTCACTCAGGGAAGGGCATAACTTTCAGTAGATCAAGTCTGTTTTTATATGAACCTGTGTATTGTGAAAGTTGATGCATCACATTTTGATTGTATCTTTTTAACATGCAATAGAAAAATCAACTGTGCTACCACAAAGTCCAAGCACAGCTATGGAACCAACTACAGCTACAACCTACTGGACCACATCAACAGAACCAGCAGTAACAGTCACATCTGATGAAGAACATCTCAGTAAGAACTCAGTCATTATTCAAATCTCCCTCTTTCACTCTGTATTCATGTTAAATGTGTTCAGGCAGGAGTTCAGTGGTTTAGGCTGCACTTTTAGGTTTTGGTTTCAAATAATTGTTAATACATTATTATATATTTGTAATTAATATAAGGATATTATAAATTGACTAATACTGGTTGACATTTATCTACAGGCCAGTAATGAGATTCATAACATTTGCTTTTCCTTTCAATCAAGAATATTATTATGTCTGAATTAAGACTTTTTTTTCCAAACACTTGTGACCAGTGAGCGGACACTAATATTTAAGGTTAAAATCAAATATTACACAACATGAAAAGTGTAAGATTCAGTGGATTTCACATCCTCTTTAGAGCACAGAGAACACAGGAGGTTACAGATTCTGAGTTTAGGGTCACTTTGGTCATCTGGCCTAATTTTCTCCCACCTCTGTAACATGATTAAACTGTAAAACCCCTAATGTAACGTTCTCCTGCCTTTTAAAATGATTCAGCTGAAACTACTGACACGCAAAAAATTATATTGGCAAATGAGATTCTGAATTTATTACTAGACATTTTTTACTTATTTTATCAAGTAAAGTTTCTCACTACATTTTAAGAAACGTTCTGCACGTTACAACAGCAAGGCTGCTTAACCAGAAATTGTAGGTGCTAGACTGACCTGCCTGTCTCCTACTGAAAATGTGTGCGGCATTATGAAGTATGAAATGAGGAAAAATATCAAATATCGTTTTAACCAAGCAGAAACTGACCAGTGGCTCTACTGTATAGTGACCCTACTTTGAATAAAGAGTCTGTTAGAGTTCTAAATCATTGTTAATACACTATAACATATTTGTGATTAATGTAAGGACATTCTAAACAGGCTGTAATACTAGTTTATATTCATCTACAGGTCACTGGTGAAATTCATTACATTCGCTTAATTCTTTTATATCAAGTTTCGACAATTAAACTCTGAATTAAGACATCCATTTTTTTTTCCCCCAAACACTTTTGACCCGTGGTGTCAAGTAGTGGGTAACACCTCTGGCTTCTATGCTGTAGACTGGTCAATCCCCCACCTGGACAAGCACCCTACACTAAACCAATAAGAGTCCTTGGGCAAGACTCCTAACACTTCATTTACCTACCAGTGTAAAATGATCTAATTGTAATTCGCTCCTAACAAGAGCCTCTGCCAAATGCTATAAATATAATGTAATGAGCTGACACTCCTGTTTCACTTTAAATCAAATATTCCCCAAATAAAAAAGTATAATATTCAGAGGATTTCACATCCTCTTTAGACCACAGAGAACAGAGGAAGTTACAAAGTCTCAAAGTCTGAGTTTATGATCATTTCGGTAATCTGGATTTGGTGTAGTGTATTGGTGGGTAATACCACTGCCCTCTACAAAGCACACTGAAATTTGAATCCCCTCTTGGCAAAGAACATCACACTAAATAAATAAGACCCTTTGGGCAAAACTCATAATGTGATGTTCTCCTGCCTCTGTAACATGAATCAACTGTAAAATGCCTAAAGTGTAAAAAAAAGGATAGTTAAATAAAATTACCATAAATCTAGTCAATATATCTAATATTTCTCATGTTAGATTGTTGTAAACTGGTAAGATTATTGCACTTATTTCTAGACTTTTTTAACTATTAATTTCATCAAGTAAAAATATCTCACTATATTGGCAAGAAACATTCTGCATGGGTTACAACAGCTTGGCTGCTTAATGAGAGAGTGCAGGTGCAGACAGTCCTGCCTGTCTCCTATTGAAAATGCCTACCACATTATGATGAATGGGCTGTACAGACTTGTCAACATGTTTACATGACTTTACTGCTCAACACTGATGCTTTAAGCTTGATGCTCTACTCTGATACCCAGAGTTCGAAGGCCCTATATGCTCACCACACTTCTTGCGTAGGGCCCCACAAAATACACAAGGTCCCCTCCTCCCCCTCATGTCAAACCTGCTTGTTGTTTACAAGTTCCATGGGAAAATGAAGTGGATCTATTTATCTGGTTCAGGTTCTAATGACCTTACTTTGCAGCATGGCATTATGAAGCCTTCAAATCAAGCTGAAACTGACCAGAAGAACTTCTGTATAGTGACGCTACCATGTATAAACAGTCGATTGTAGTTCCAAATAGTTATCAATACATTAAGATATTACATTTGCTTAATTCTTTGTGTGAAGTTTTCAGACTGATCATGAACTCTGCATTATGATATTTTCTTGTTTTTTTAAATGTTTGTGAACAATGAGTTGATACTCATGTTGAATGTTCAAATCAAACATTACAAAGCATTAAAAGTGTAACATCAAAGAATTTCCCATCCTGTTTAGACCACAGAGAACACAAGAGGTTACAGTCTAAAGTCTCTTTGGCCACTGGCTTTGGTGGAGTGTAGTGGGAAACACCACTGCACTCCATGCAGCAGGCTGGCATTTGATTCAAAGAAATATTGAAGTGTATTGGTAAGAAACATTTGGCATATGATTGCCCTGCTTGGCAAGCCCACCACACTACACCAGTAAGAGTCTTGGGACAAGACCCCTCATGTTATGTTCTCCCACATCTGTAATATGATTATACTATCAGGTGGCCTGGATAAGTACATTGTTTCCCACTAGAAGAGAGAGAGACAGAGAGAGAAGAAGAGAGTGGTCCACATGGCCTCCCCTGTCCCACGAAAGAAGATATGAGAGAAAAAGCCCTGAAACTAAACCCAGACCACAGCAGTCACCCAGAGAACGAGCATCATTTTCAGTAGATCAAGTTTGTTTTTAACTCAGCTTGCGTATTGTAGAAGTTGACTGTTTCGCATTCTGATTGTATCTTTTTAACACGCAATAGAAAAATCAACTGCACTACCAGAAACTCCAAGCACAACTATGACAGCTACAACCTACTGGACCACATCAACAGCACCAGCAGCAGCTGAAACATCTGATGAAGAACATCTCAGTAAGAACTCAGTCATTATTCATACCTTCCTCTGTCACTCTGTATTCATGTTAAATGTGTTCTGGCAGGAGTTCAGTGTTTCAGGGCTCCAAATCAGGAACTAGAAGAGATGTGGAGCTGGAGGGTTCTGGGTTTAGTGGGTACCAGGTTGCTGCAGGTTCTAATAGTCTTACTTTCCAACATGGCCTTACAAAGCCTTCAAACCAAGCAAAAACTGACTGGTGGAACTGCTGTATAGTGAGGCTACCGTGAATAAAGAGTCTGTTAGTGCTCCAAATATATTAATACATTATAACATATTTGTGATGAATGTAAGGACATTCTAAACTGACTGTAATACTGAGTGTTTGGCCTGTTCTTCTCTCTGTGTCTCTGATCTCCAGGTTCCTCTCTCATCATCACTGTATGTGTCTGTGTGGCTCTGTTGCTGATTGGAGGAGCAGCACTGATCTATAAACTGAGAAACCACATCATACAGGGTATGCAGATTACGTCTTACAACATAGCAGCCCTTAATCCTCCATTTGAAAGTAACACTGAAGGCTCCCTCTAGAGGACAGTGATGGCGAACACACAAATATTTGTATGACTGATATTTCTGACATTATCTTTTTCCACAGACTCAGCCTTCACTTACCAGCTAACAGAAAAAAACAACCAAGTGAGTAAAAATGATTGATTAGATAAAGATTATTTTGATTAAAACACCACAATAGTGTCTTTTCCACATCTTAGCCTAAAATCCATTATATATTCACTGCGACATGTTTCTCTATGATCTGCTCAGCTGTGTGATGTCATCTCTGTTTTCAGGGTGATGGTGATCCACATGGAAATCAATACATCAGCATGGGTCCAGTCCACCAGAGCCTGGACTCCAACACCAAATAATCAGATTCTGTCAAGGAGAACATGGTAGACAACGCTTAAACCCTCAGATTGATTTGCGAGAAGCTGAATGTCAACACCAGTGAATTTCACAAGGCAGAGTTTCTCTGTTCAGTTAGCAAAATAAGAGAACCAGTGATGAAAACTGTCCATTTGAAATGTCTTTCTTCTTCTCTAATTGGTCAACGTTTGAGTTTTGGCTGAGAAATTTACCAAATAACCCCATATTCAGTAAATTTGAACTTAAAACACAATATCAATCTATGTACACCTCTCAATAATCAGTTTACAGACTAATCACAAAACACTGGGCCTCATTCACCAACCGTTCTTAAGAAGAAATTTCTTTAAACCCTGTTTAACAGTTTTCACAAAGATTCTGACTTTCACCAATGTTGGGGATTTGTCCTTAGGTAAACTCTACACACAGTCAAGAGCTCAAAGGTGTAAACAAATTTTAAACACATCATGAATCTGACGTAGACTTTTTCTTAGGACCTTTCTCAAGAATGAATTGGAAAAAGAAAAAAACTTAGGAAGATGTTGGAGAATGAGGTCCAATGTTTTTGTTTGTTTGATTGTTTGCTTGCTTTTCCAGTACAAAATGATCTACTTATTTTATATTATCTTCTGATTGGCTCCTGTGGTCTAATACTGCAACATTATTAGAGCTATTGGGAACAGGAGAGATATAATCATATCCATATCATTGCAAAAATGTAATCATTTTTTGCTTGTGAAGATTTTTCATTTCTAAAATCATGTTTGTAACTTTTTCTTTGGCATCTTCCAGCCATCTCCAGTTCTTTCACCATATCTTTTGTGCATTTCATATACAATAAACGTATCACTTTAAAAACTTGAAATGGATTAATTTCTTCCTAAAAACAACTTTTTAAAAATGTTTCACCTGCCATGCACGCACCTCTGCCAGCTCCTGGGCAGCATCTCCACCTCAAGACGCTATCAGTACATTTAGAAAGATTTTACATATCACATGTTATTAATATTGGAAAATCAAAATCAATCCTGATTGTTACCAAATAGTCCTGAAGGTTAATAAACCACAGTGCAACCTCTCAAAAATGGAGACCTCACCAACATAACTGAGTTCTGCTCAACCACTTTCTTAGTTTAGTCTAAGACATTTGACCAACCAGGATGTTTACACAATGTTTTCAAAACCTAATCTTTAATAATCAGTCATCAAAAATATGATCATTTCGTCATTCAGGGTTGTCCTAGTGACAAAGCAGACTCTCACCTCCAGCAGATGGCGCTCTTTCTCCTATTACTTTGTTTCGTGGTCAGTGGTGCTGATGGGAGGAGCCCTGAGGTTGAGAAACAGTGACAACAAAGAAAAAGGAACCAACTAAACCAAAGAAAAGGGGACATAAAGACAAACACAGCGTTACAATTTCTGTAAACCAACATAATTTGATTCTAAGAAGTATTTAAAGGTAAACTAGATCATTTCCAACTGTTTAGAATGAAGATGCTCATCACCTTTAGCAAATGATGTGATCTAGCTCAATACAGCACATATTGAGTAATGCACAGCACATTTAGAGTGTGCTCTGTCAGTATATTTTATCCTCTAATTAATTCAGTTCACTGAAAAACTAATTGAAGCCATAAGCAATTAAAAGCTCATCACAGATTATCTGAGATGAAACAGTGTTGAACAACATGTTACACCTTCATGCCGTAAGTGGGAGCTGTGTTTACACCACACTTTTCCCAGATCTATTTGTTTTAATGTCTATACATCCTGGAAAACACTGTTTTATTCACTCTACCAATCTTTGGATGCTGTGTGCTTCATTGTTTTCTCAGGAACCAGGACCAACACACACTTTCAGAAAATTTAGCTGAACTCTGAGGGTCCACTGCAGTACAGACTGTGGGTCGGAGGAGAATACTTCTAATAGCTCATTATGGATGAACGCAATATTGTCTTATTTCTGTTTGATCTAAATCATGAATCAAGTTCGATTTGATTAAATATCATATTTGATATTTATTTTTTGACTGAAAGTTTCTGAAAGTATTGAAAATATTCTCCTTCTTACTTTCTTAATTTTATCTTCTAATCAACCCACAGGTTTCAAGATACCGACACCAAACCAACTCCAGAATGTTCAGTTTGGTTGGAAAAGATGTGCTTATGTATTTTGATTGGATGTACCATTTCCACGTAGCCACTGTTTTTGTTCTGATTATCTCCCCCCCCCATAGGAATGAATGGTGAAATCCTCAACATAAGTAGAATGACTCTGAACCTGAATCATTCTACTAATGTAAACTTCTTATTCTGCTACAGACATTGTACACTATAAGGCCAAAAGTTTGTACACCACTCTTTTATCACCATGATACAAGTCAACGGGCAACACCCTATGAATCACCTTGGATACCATGGAAACCAACAAGCAAATCCAAGCAACCACCTGGAACACCCTTACAACCCCCTAGCAAACCACTTACAACCACCAGATACCATATTAACCAAATAACAGCAACATGGAAACAACTTATAATGCTAGAGCACCTACATACCAACACTCTAGCAACCACCTAGAGTAATATATTGTGGTGTTCAGCAACTGGCGTGAGGCATGGTCGTGCAAAGTGGCCGTCCGAAGAGGCTCTCAGGAGGCGCCACGCTCCTGGTAAGGCGAGACCTTTAATGTCCACGTTGCTGTTGTGTGATTGCTATTAGTGTAAATTTGCTACTTGTGCTGTTGTGTGCTGGGCTGTGGGGTAGTTGCTGCTAGTATTAGTCTATGTAATGTATTATTCAGTCAGTTGCTGACAAGTTAAGATGCACCCACTGAGCATAAGAAGAATAAAATAGCTTCAGGAAAACTTGAAGCAGCAGAGAACATGCACTGAGATTAGATCAAGAGCTTTACAAGAACTATTGTATGCAGCATGTGGTAATATCATAACAATGGGTTTAGTTTCCATTGCCTAACTTGAAGGAAAGAAAGATGAGGTTGAACCAAAAAAAGTGAAAGGAGTCCTGCAGACTCAGCAGAAGTGGTTTTGAAGGTGGCTTGTGTATGAAAGAAAATGCAGAATTTTCAGATTTTTTGACAAACTCAAGCGGTGGAGTTGACCAGGTTGAAACTACGTGATGTACTTTGTGCTTAGTGCTTTGCAGCCCTTAAGATCTGACTGCATTTGTGCTCTCTTTTTCTTAAGTTATATTAAGGTTTCAAATCTTAAAATATATATATTTTTAAAGAAGCTACACATGAGCTCAAGTGGCTCCTCCCTGCCTTTAGTAGGGAGTCACTTAGTCAGACTGACCTTAACTGGCAGTTGTGAGGCCCTTAACCCTTCTGAGGTTGAAGCATAATTGATCGAAAGTCATTTCATTTGCTCTTTTTGATCTCAAGACAATTAGTGTCCCGACACCGGCCTTCCATTCCAGAGGTCGGCATTTCATATCCTGCTTCAGGATCGCCTCAGTCCCCTGAAATTTTCGTTTCATTTAAAGCATTTGGCAGACACTCTTATCCAGAGAGACTTACAATTTGATCATTTTAATCAGGTAGGCAACAGTAGTGTTAGGACCCCAAGGACTCTTATTGATATAGTGTAGGACGCGTGCCCAAGTGAGGGACTGAACCCCAGTCTACAGAATGGAAGGCAGAGGTGTTACACACTACACTATACCAAACACTTTTTTCCCCATCTGTCCTATTCTCCCTTGGCCCTGACCAGCACACAACTAGGTTTGCTTTTTATCTACATTTTGTGTTGACTCTGATCTGTGAAAAACTCTGCTCTTGAGTCCTTTTCTCATATTCTCAGTTGGTAGCTTATTCAGTTTACATGCTCTTGGTTTACATGTTTACATGTCCCCTATGCTCTTTTATTTAACATACAGCAAGGGAGAACTGCTGCCTAGCGCTCTCTTCTAGCCATACACTCTCTCTTTATGGTAGGCACTAACAGTGGCACTAACTACCCCACAGCCGAGCACAGAACAGAACAAGCAACAATGCTATACTCATAATCCACAACAACAATAGTAGAACAAATGCCTTTCTTTTTATTGGGAGCACAGCGCCTCCTGAGAGCCTCTTTGCATGGCCTCCCACACTCCCACAGCTTTAAGGGTCAGCCGTACCAGCGACTTCAAAGAGTATAAGCACCAGACTCACAGTAAGAGGGACCTAAAACATGTAAATATGTTGTTATTGTTGGTGAGGAGATGTGTACATATGTTGCATGTGCAGTAGATATGACTGCATGAGCAGTCGTTTGAAGTGCTATGTTTCCTGTGTCGCCTTTTTTATGCCAATGCCACAATATTTTTCCCCAGCAAGCTGTGGGTATGGACTACATACTACTGCATAGCTGACTCGTTTCACACCTCATGACACGAAAGAGAGTGAGAGAAAGGAAGTTGAAGTATTTATAGTAAGACAGGCTACTAACAATAATACGATCACGGAAAGATGAACTATGAAAAAGAAAAGTCCTTATTCTTCCTTCCTGCTTCAGCTCAAATCTCAAGTGTTTTACTACTGTCAGCTGACTAAATGGCCGTCACTGTACAGTCATGTTGGTTGATCTCTCTAATCAAGTGTTTAATGAGTATACGCAGCCCTGCTCTCTGTCCCTCTGTGACTAAAGAATATACACTAGAAAAAGAAGATATATCTGCCAACTAAATACAGGAGACCCTAAAATACAACATAAAAGTCTGAATACAACAGCCCAGTTACCTACGATGATGGAAGCATTTCTTTTCACAGTTCAGATGCTGATCATATTGCTATACATGTCAATTCATTTTCAACTGAATATTTCTGTTGAACAACCTTAGAATATAAATTATGGTCATTATTCGTTCAGGGCTGTGATAGTGAAGAAACAGTCTAACAGGTAAAGCGCTTTCTCTCATTGCTTAAGTTGGTATTTGGTCAGTGTTGCTGGTGGGAGGGGCTTTGAGTGTCTTCTTAATAAGCCATAAATTTGACTTCCCTTATGTGGGTGGGTGGAGGCCACAGCAGTGATGAAACTAGAGACAGCAAAAACAACCACAGCAAAAAGAAGAAGAGGCAGCAACAGACACACAGAGGACTGTGAGTAATTTCAGTCTGGAAAAGTAGATTTGAATTACAGGATGAAGATCCTTCAGTTCAGGATGAAGATCTTCACCTCCATCCTCTACCTGATCTCAGGTCAGATATTCAAATGTAATCACCACTAATACGACAGCAAGTGCAGTTATTTACTATCGTTTGTTTCTTCATTGGAAACTACAGTAGTTCTGTGTGCTACAGTTATGTTTATACTATACTGAGTGAAGAGTACAGAAGGTTCTGTGAGGTTCTCTCATGTGTGAGATGTTTCTTTTTCTGATCGACAGGCCCAGTGTGCTGCTCTGATGTGTTTGTCTATTCAGGGGGAAGTGTCCTTTTATTCTCTGATCTGCAGTGGGATGTAAACAATACAAGATATGTTTGCAAGATGGAACAGAATGGCTGCCTAAATATAATGAAGGATCAGACTAAGAGCAAGTCTGTTATTAGCGGGAGATTCAGGATGTATTCAAACATAATGGAAGAGTTTCTACTGTTGATCAGAGAGCTGAATCCACAGGATTCTGCTGTGTACAGATTTGGAGTTGGGAATGAAAAGCATAAGGACATCAAGCTGACCGTTCAGAATGGTGAGAGTTTATCTTGTTTAAGCAATAAACAGGATTGGTTTGATCAGGTGACTAATGAACTGTAGTTTGTGTATGTTTGTTTATA